CTACCACCCCCAGGCCTACGCGATATTCTTATTACTCATTATGCATTGTATTAACAGAGCATTTTATTTCTCGACTTCCCGAAATAATTACTTATCACTGTAATCTACGTAGTAAATCATATTATGATAAATATTCTTAATCTGTTCCTAGAAAATACTCTTGATAAAAAATTGCAGATAAGAGCAACATTACGTGGGGTTCCTATTACATAATAATACAAATAAGCACTACACAAACCAGTATTGTTTACAATAAGTTTTGTTGCGTGACCACATAGAACTTATTTTTTTTGGGGTTTTTAATATATATTTTATTGTGGATTTTGGTATAAAAAAAATAACTTAATTAAAAATGTAGCTCAATTATAAAAGAAGCCGAAAGTATGACCTTTTTTTTTTTGCTATTATCGTTTATTTTATCAGTACAAGTACGGTACGGTCAAAGACCACAAAACGATCTCTAGCACCTGGGCACTGGAGAACTGAGCCGAAAAATTCGGCTTGGTTCTTCTAAACCGGGGCCCGTAGCGCTACATCGTGGATGTAATCATGCCCGTGAAGGGTCTAGCGGAGGAAGCAGTTTCCTGGGGCGAAGTGGCGTTCAACACTTTGCCCTGAAGTTGCGTCAGGGAGGCGCTCGTGTATCATCAAGTGCCTCTCTACCTCATAGTCGGGACATACTTGTCGGAGAGAGCCGTCGTCTACCCAAGTAGGACCGGTCTCGGTCGGCGATGCAGGGCGGCAGGGTTCGATGTTAGGGGCGCTTATGTGGAACAGGAGTGCAGTGCGGAACGGCTACGACTGGGTGCTTCGTGGTGCCTTCTTAGATGGTGTCGCTGTCACGTGTTATGCGGACGACACGCTTGTGACTGCGTGCGGCGACACGCACCGTGAAGCAACCCTGAAGGCCACAACCGGGGTTGCCTAATTCGTGGAGCGGATCCGGCGGCTCTGACTCGAGGTGGCCGAGGCCTTGTTCTTTCATGGGTGGTTCGGAGGAAGTCACCTGAGAGATCCAACCTCATATTAGGAACTATACCTTCATTCTACATTAATTCCCATCGGTGGTAGATTCAAGCCCTGGTTCGACTGATCGTGCAAAACGGTGTCCCGCCAAAATCGGGAATGCTACCAAGCATGGGCAAATGCAGTGACGGCAGGCGATGTAAAGGTCCTCCAGGTCCCTTAAAAGAGCTATTGCTAGGGCGACCAGGGCGAGGGGAAAGCCGATCTCCTAGGCAAACTCTCTGCATCCAACTCGACTTTGGATGACGGGGGAAACGTACCGCCGACCATACCGCGGTGCCAGAGCTATATGCCGGATATCCGGTTCACATAAAAATCAGTGCGTAAAGCACTCTTTTCCCTTGACATTCATAAGTCATGTGGGCCCGATGGAATCTCTCCTATCGTGTTGAAGACGTGTGCTCCGGAGTTGGCACCGGTTTTAATGCGCCTTTTTCGTCTCTCCTACTCCCAAGGCGTCGTCCCGAACTCCTGAAGGGTAGCGTTTGAGCACCCGATCCCTAAAAAAGGTGACCGCTCTGACCCGTCCGTCTATAGTTCTATAGTCATAACTCCTTTGTTCTCTAAGATTATGGAATCCATAATCAACAGCCAGCTCCTCCGGTACTTAGATGATCACCATCTACTACCGGAATGACTTATGTAGGGTACACCAGAGTGTGTTTTTAATCGATGTGGTTAATTTACTAATCTTCTGTAAATTCATAAAAACAGGGTGGCGATCAAAACTAGCAGGTAGTTATCAAAAATCATTATTTATTTATTAAGTATAAACAGCATTAATCGATTAATTACAACCTAAAATTTAGCTTAATAGGTAATGATAAAAGTTTTAAAGATCGTAGACGTAACCTTGTGTTAAATATGAGGAAACGTATCTGTAAGTTGTACAATGTGACCACCGCTTCGTTTTTTGAATTCTAGTATACGAATAGAATTGTGGTGAACTTAGCAATTAATAACTTTTATTTTTCACTAGCTGACCCGCGCAACTTCGTCTGCGTCTCTCAATAGTAATAAATTTTCTCCGTTTTTGAAACATTCTTCATTGGTGCTCCGCTCCTATTGGTCTTAGCGTGATGATATATAGCCTATAGCCTTCCTCGATAAATGGGCTATCTAACACTGAAAGAATTATTCAAATCGGACCAGTAGTTCCTGAGATTAGCGCGTTCAAACAAACAAACAAACAAACAAACAAACAAACTCTTCAGCTTTATAATATTAGTATAGATTACCTTGGCTGTATTAACATGGGTGTTGTCAATAATATCACTACTTCGTTCCACAGTACCATTCCTAGATCTATACCAGTGGATCTGGTTAAAGGTTACCTTACAAAATCAAGTTATTAATATAATATTATTATAAAACAATATTCATATTTGAGGCTTGTTACATACATACATTTCCACCATACACATACAGGTATACAGGTGAAAAGATAGAAAACTGACCTGCGTATTAAGTCCTACTTAGGCAAGCATATTAGTTGTTAATTGAGTAAAAGATATGAAAAGGCAAAAATAAAAGATTTATTGCTTTTACGGGTGAATATCCACTTCATAGGCAATAGGGCATTCAGACCAGGGTCTATTTCTCGAACTGGTTGACACTTTATATTTATTTTGACAGCTTACCTGTCAGTAAATCCCTTGAATTATGACAGAGTGACTACGAATTATGAGTACATGACTAACTATAGTTAATTTTAAAGGTTGCATTTTTTGATTGGGCTTTGTCTTAAACTTTCTTTAACAGAGTCAACTTGGAAAGTAACAATACCCATTGATGGCTACTGATTGAAATTAAATTAAAAGTGTATAAGGATATATTATGTAATCATATTTTCACGATACGAATATTTGCGTATATAGCAAGGAAATATTTACTGATTAAAAATTTCCTCAAACTAAAGACTATTATGACCTATAAAGATCCATTATGAAATCTATTTATCATTAGCATCCTAAATCGAAAAGCTTCTTGTTAAGCTTGCTCTCTGTTACATTAGGTTATGGCGTCAAACATCATGTTACTAAAGCTTTCTATAGTGCTAAATCTTTTCAGTAGATGGCGGTACTGTACAAATATTCAAGGTTTCCTTGATCACTAATAGATGGCGTTACCAGCTTCAATGTGAATCGATCGGGCAATAAAATAATTTAGGTGTGTAATATACCTCAAATTTATTAAATTATGAGGGTATTTTGTTGCAAAATTGCACGGTTAGTTAATCAACATTGAAAGTAATTTTTGTAATAATGCGTTGATTTTGAAATGCTATTTTATAATTATCTGTATTATTGTTTAAACACTAGATATGATTGACATATATGTTGAAATAACTTGACCTATTTTCTCCAAAAAGTTAAATTTCAACTAGCAAGACACACTAGTAATCAGTGGATATGCAGATTACACAGTAAAACTTAATTGACAGAGTGCTTGGTGTAAACAAGATGAAGCTTTTAAGGCATACGACCCGAAAGATAAATAGAAGAAGGGAAAATAAATTGTTGTTATAAATATAGAAATGAAAGAGAAATACATAACGGCTCATACATTGTTTATAAAATCTGCGTAAGTCCGCGCTAAGTATAATACCGTTAATTTCCAGTAAAATAATATTTTTACCAGCAAAATAATCATATAATTTAAAGTAAAACTTAAAGCGTACCTTAGATTTTGGGTAACGTAATTTTAATGGTAAGTTTTATTATTCTCTCACAATCAAAAATCACGCTAGAGTTATGCGGTATATCAGTATTTCACCATCGTGTTCGATATTGAAAAATGATAAATTTGTGGATGGTTCAGTGCAATATGTTACTCTGCTCGTCGTTTCTGCTAATCCTTGATTTAACCCTCTACATCATTCTTCTACGCTGTTCAGCATTTAACGTATTCCGTATTCATATATATTTTACTTAGCATCAATAATAGCAACATCTTTCCTTTGAATTTCAAACAAGAGCCTTATTTTAGTTCGATATGCAAGTAATTTAGTCTTTTGCTGGACTCGTTAACTACTTAATTTTGATTAAAACCGGATTCGACTGATTCACCGGTGTTTACTTTCAATGAGACATACTTATTGGATAATTAATGCGTTTGTCTACATACCTATCATGTCCGAGGCGATACACCACAACAAGTTGCAATAGAGAGTTATTTTTTTGTATTTTTTGAAACACTTTATTTTTGAGCATGTGTTTTACTTTTTGTCATGACACAATTTTTAAACAAGTTTAATAAAATGCCATTCTTACTGTGAGTAACATGGCAGCAGACTAATAGAAATTAGGCTTCACTAATGGAATGTATAACATTTTAAGTGTATGTGACTATGTAAACACTGTTTATAAACAGGAAAGTTACCAAGCACGCGCTTCATGCCGTGTCAAAGGTTAGACTCGAGACCTTAACCTCTTTCAATATTTATCACTGTCTCGTCGGCTGTTACATTTATTTTTAACTGTTTAAACACGTCATTCAGTCAGTGGATGTTTTTACATTTTAAAATCATTCTAGGTATTTTTTACTAATATTCTGGCTGAAGCTTGGGGTAGTTGTTGTTGGAATAAAATGCAGAAATAAAGTAGATATTTTTTTATTAACTTACTCTTTTGTATTTTTTCACAATTCTGTGAATTCTTTGCAACGATAAAAAAATATAACAATGCGAACTTGATAATGTTCGATACAACATTTCTTATACAATAATATTATTACTCTTTAATATCACAAGTACACTTATTTCCTAATTTTTATTAAAGCTTTGAAGTTTGAACTTAAGAACTAACTATTTTTAAATTATACTAACTGTGAGATCTAAAGTTATTTTGATATCGTCATCACGTGTCACTGTAACTGCTGGATGATAGCGGACACATAAGTGCGTGTGCGACTCCGAACGGTGCTGGAACAGATGTGACCGCGGAGCCGGGTCCGCCAGCTCCAGTCACAACTGTTTACCACGGCCGCCACACTGCAGGACTCTTGGTGAAGGTGTTGGTGGTGCAGTCCAAAGGAGTTGCTGTGTGCATGTGAACGGGTGACGCTGGTGGAGATGGAGTCACATATCCTGAGGTGGAGGAAGCAGTAGACAGAGCAGGGCTTGGCGGGCTGGCCGGTGGAGTGTCAGCAGACGCAGCTGCTCGCTGCATGTCGTTGAGGCGGTGTCCCAAATGTGTCATCAACTGAGTTCCTAGCCTCACATCCACTCCTGGAATGGACGCTAAGCAGCGGGATACTTCGTTAGCAGCATGTGTAAATCCAGCACGGAAACGGTCAGCATCCACTGTCGGGTTGAGCGACAAGCGACGCTGGCGACGGAGCTTGTGAAGATGGCGAACAGTCAATTCCAAAATATCGGCTTTCTCCAATTTTGCAACATTTTCTCCTTCAGATTGAAGAGCGCTGACCATCAACTCTTTGAGTTCGTCAAGGCAGCGATTGATGCGAGCACGTCTTTTGCGCTCAAGCATAGGCTTCATCACTTTGCGGTATTGATAAGTGCGCGAGACTGGCTGCGGGCCGTCGTCTGCGATCGAATACGCGATCTCGTAAGACATGTTGGACATTTGTGTGAGCGAGTAGGGAGCGTGCGTTAGCGTTGAGCGTTGAACGCGGAATGCGATGTTCAGCGCTTGGCGGGGGTTTATATAGGGAGCGGATCGTGGGAACGCACAGAGCCGTCGAGTTCCCACACGCGCCACCTGTGCGGAGCAGCTGCCGGCGCGGGGTGCGGGGGGACACGCGCTCGTCGCGCGTGCGCGCCGTAAACAATCGTGCGCCGCACGCCGCGACGCTTGGCCTCGGTAATTGCCGCTGTTGCGGATTCTATGCTAACTCGCTACTGTCTAACCTAGGACTGTTTTGGATCGGGCCTTGTATACATTTTTTCTAGATAGCGGATTAGTCTGTGGCCTATATAGTTTGTAGAGCTCATACAGATTAAGTAGAAAGTGACTCGTACGAGATTTTGTTTTTTTTTTATCTTATTCTTGAGTTTAGGATAATTGCCACTAGACTAGTAGCGAGTGATTTATTGTAGAAAATTTGGTTATAAACCAAAAATTGTAGCTGTTTGTAGAGTTGGCCTACGGGTCCCGTAGCATAGTATTTTGCCATTTCACACACGCTCCGATAGCGTTAAGTAACAATTAATCAATGTTATTGTTGCAGATCAAACAGCGCTTCTATTACATCATGTCCGCATTTAATTAAAGCTGGGTCTAATTAAGAACAGATTTATGCATCAATGTCGCAATGTAATGTCAGTGTAAAGCGATCAATCAATTGCAGAGTCGATAGCTGCGCGGGCGCACAACTCTCACAACACAATGGCCCGGCGTCAATTATACTCTGATCGGCTTGCTGGCTACTGTTGGCAGTCATCAATCAGAGATTACTGGACGTAATAATTATTGACAGACGAAATTACAGTCGCGATCGCGTCCTAAATGAGGGAATTATATTGCCTAATGACATTCGAATGAATTATCATATTTTGCAACGGGTTCTCTGAACTAAGTATGTCAGTATGTATGTTGTTGTTCTTGTGTATTTGGAAGTATGCACCGGCGCGGCGCTGTCAGTAGCGGTCTTGTATGTAGGTGGGTATTAGTCAGAGCGGCGCGCACGTCGAGTGGGCGCTCGGCCTACGCAGCGCCGCCGCCGCGCCGATGAGATAATATGTGTCCACAGCGTCCGGTATCGACACGCGCTCATTATCGGGCTTTCTCCGAAATACACCCACTTTGATACTTCGAATGTTTATATGTATATATATGTACAAACTTTATGCAAAATTTATAAAAATCCATTCTCACGAAAAATTGATTTTTATGATTGTTTTTTTGTAAATACTGAAGATATTTTATAGCTATTACAAGGTCAGATTGTAATACAAAAACGTATTAGTAAAGTATTCTAGCGAGTTTATTAATGTATAAAAATTCCACTGGGCTAATGTTTGGAGCGGAAAAATGTTAATTTGTTGCTCACTAATCATTTGAAATGGGTCCGTTTTATGAGGCACGTGCTGGAACATTGTATGACCATTGTTATGCATTAATAACTTGGCACATTAACGTACGGAAAGTTTATAGTTTTTGGTTTACGTTGCGTTTAAGTATCATTATCGCCTTATCTGTCGTTTAGTTAGTACACTATCGGTCAAAAGAAAAAGAAAGAATAGTTGTTATGTGCCGATATGGCTTTTTCTAGGTGGGTGAAACAAAAGTCGTAAAAAATACCGCTATTCTAAATTTAAAACTTTGTCGGAAACATTACCTGTCAATTGGATCCAAATGCACAATTGTAAATTCAATGGGTGGTTTTATGGCTACCTGTTAAGTAAGGTTTTGGGCGGTGTTTTATCTTCCATTATTTCGGGACCGCTACCCTCAATAGAAGGTATGAAAATTGTAATGGGGATAGATTGTTGCTTTGCATTTTACCGCTTCGTAGAGGTAATTAAACCTAATGACCCACTCCAATATTTATTAGATGGTTTCTTTAAGTACTTATTCTTATTCTTTTAACGGAAAAACAATATTTTAATACCCGGTTTGATAATTACGTGAATGGTTTTATGAATGGACTTTAGATATGGACTTTGCTTTTTAATAAATTCGTAATTTAACATGCTATTTGAGAAGACTTTTTAAGTTAAATAAATTAATGAAATTAACTTGAGTCGATGAAATTAATTATATTTATATCTGCGGACGAATCCTAATAATTGTTTTATTAATATGCGAAGGTCGCTACTAAGTACACAGTCCGACTGTTTAGTTAGTTGCGCTAAATTTCGGGCTTATCTTATGCACTAATGTTTGCGGCGGACGCGGACAAGCCTTCTCGCTACACTGTGTTAACGTTAACTTTTTCAAATCTGAATAATTAAATGCAAGTAAAAAGTTAATATTGTTCAGTTTAATCTGAAAAAAAAAGTTTTAACCTAGTTTCATATATGAGATTAATGACATTTTTTTTAACTTATACCTTTACAACTGCCTTTACAAAAGTTTATTAATTTGATTGTTTTCTGTGTGAAACATTATGCAACAAGCGCAATGTATAGGTCCAAAAATTGTTTTTTAATTTATAGGTTTTACTTAGGTTTTTTCTTTTCTATAGTATAGGGGGCCCAACAAGCTGACGGGCCACCTGATCATGGAGGCTTGCAAGTGCAAGAAAGAGTCACAAGTGCGTTACCACCTTTTGAGTTCCCCCCAGAATTAGGGGAATTGGGGTATCTGGCTCCGGTAACCTAACTTACTATGTTAAAAGCAACAAAAGATCTGCTTAACACCGGTTTTCTGTGAGGCTGTGGTATAACTCCAGTCAAGTCGGGCCATTGTGCCCAAGTACACAAAAATGTTTCGACAAAGGTTGTGTGGAGTCCATCAAAAAGTTGCCTTTGAAAGATTACAGGCTGTAATAAGGCCGCCCATTGTCATCACCATCATCATCCGGAGCCTTGAATAGTCGACTGCTGGATATAGGCCTCTCCTAAGAAAGGAGGATTTGGCCTGCTATTCCACGCTGGTCCGACGGGTTGGTACATGATTTGTTTCAAGTTTTCCTTCTCGTTGCAGTGCTGTTGTCCTTTGCTCCCTTAGTTGGCTCTTACGACACCCACGGGATGAACAGGGGTGGTGACACTCCATTCGTCACCGTAATCCGTCACCACACGGATTATTATGCTACTATTTTTTTTGCATTCTATATTGTATGTACACTAAAGAGTATCTATTTTTCTATCTTAAAGTTAGTTCCGTTTAAAGTATTCCATTTCTAAGGGGAAATTAAAGGAACAGTACAGAATTGGCATTTCTTACCTTGAAAAATATGCATACTTCTTAATGAATGTAAAATATCTTCATACAATAATGTATAATCCGATGATTTCCCGATTACAGGATATCCTGCTATCACGAGATTATTAGAGTATCGTAATGCAATGTCAAATTGAAAATTTAATGAGAGGTTAATGGTCTCTGACGTATACGATGACTGTATCACAGCTTCAACACCGTCATTATTACTCATAATTCAAATTTACTCTGATTCCGGACATGTTCAAGCGTGCATTGCAATTATTATAATGAAATACATTATTTATAAAATGTGTCATCAACTGAATTCTACGCAGTTGTAATCGCTCAGATGGATTATACAGGAAGATAGAGATTCCTGTTTATGGATGGATAAAATACACAATTTTAGGTAATGGTTAACATTTTTAGCATTACATAATAAGCATTTCCAATGCAAAAGGAACTACGACGAATAATTGTTATACGAGCCTTAGCGATTGGTCGCACCTTTTGTTCCTTACTATAAATTTTTTGTTTATCCCATTCACCAACAAAATTAATATCATAATTTATGTGTATGGTTTTATCTAAACCTTTAATGTTTTAAACCATGATTAGCATAACTTACAGTGCACGAATATTACATAGAGTGCATTAATTACATAACATAAACTTATAGAATGCCACAGAAATAAAATGTATCTAATTATCTTTGTTGACTTACCTACTCATATTGATGACGACAGCCTTTTATGGTACTCGTTTTTGTGGTGCATTTTTTTAAGTGGTATGCTGAATGTAGTAGTGAACAAGTTGTTGATACTGTCATTGTACCCTTGAATGATTTGGAAACTTATTTCACTGCAGATAGCACTCACGTTTCTTTGGATTTGTGATTAAGACACAGACAACAATCAATTAAATTAAATGACCCAACCCCCGTCAGACCCAGATTAGCTTCAGTTTGGGCGGTGAAACAGTTTGCAGTACTCCTTATTCTATTTCTAAAATTTTTTCACCATCTTGTTTGAATTATAATTGCTTGACGTCATCAGTATCGTAGGCGTGTAAAGTCAATAAATCATACAAAAAAAAATGCCTGAAATTGCTGATACCATCGATTCAACGAGCGGATTGACTTTGTAGTATTCGTATGTTGCACACGTTGATTATACTCGTGTCTTTATCTTATCTTTCAAAGTTAATCAAGAGGTTTTTAGAAGTAAGATAAATTGTTATAATAAAACGAGGTAGAATACAAAAGATAGCCCCTTCAACGATAGCCTCCTACGTACTTCACATATATATAATCGCGTAGGTATAGTTTTGTATTTCATGTTTTCTCTTAGTGTATCAGCCATTCGGTATAAACATTGCAAGTGTTCAAAGGAAATTAATTCCAATCGGGCCACCTATACACTATAGCTATACTATTGTAGGTCCGAATTAATTAAGAAAATAATTTAGAAAAATAATACAATTAAAATGTCAAAAACAAACTTAACTGTTTTAAATTAATTTTGATAAAATTATGACTTAATTAATCTTACTCGAGGAAAGTGGTTGGCAGCGGATGAACTGCCCAAGACCGGGATGATTAGCGCTCCTTGGGCGTCTGGCGCCTATGTTCAGCAGTGGACGGTGATAGAATAATGATAATGATGATATAATTTTTGATACATTTAACGAAAATTGAAACTCAGTCAGAGTAAAAATAAACAGACGATTGCGCAAAACATACCAATTTTCCATATTTGATTTTAGTTTAGGCAAATGTAAAAAAATGTTTTTTTTTTTTCGAGCATTGATCAACATTAGGAATCAATGTAGGTATTCGATCCGAGATTGCTGTGCCTATTGATCTTACAGGCCACTCGAGCGATAGGGACTAGGGACTAGTAATATTTACGAGAGTGATATGAATACTGAATCTTCACATACATATAGATATGAAGTAGTATCTAGATATGAAACTTCAGTGCGCACGCCATTACATACTCGTAGTAATACATAAAATATCAACCTAGGTTATGTAACGTGTTAAGCATTGATTATATGACAAACAAAAGTGATTGATGATTTAAAATCGTTTTTCGTTGTTTTTTTTTTAACGTAAGCAACCTAATAGAATTTCTTGTTAAATCTTCTCGGTTCCTACATAGGGAATACTTGGAATGTACAGTGGGAGTTTACTGTAGGTGAGTCATGCTTCTGTACGAATGGGTCGGCTCGACCAGTGATACCACGGCCTAACAGAAAACCAGTGTTAACCAATTAATATTTTTTCAAGACAATTCCTGCATTAGGAATATATTCCTTTGTCGCGAGGGACTTTACAAACATACATGTAACAGACACAAAGAACACCCAGACCCAGAACAACGATTTGTGGACCTCACAAAGTGTTGTTTTATGCGGCGATCGAACCCACAGCACTCAGTGTTGTAGGAAGCGTCGAGGTAACCACTTAAAAAACCACGCCATCCGTGCAGTCAATTCAATTCACCTAACTGGAAGGGGGGTAGGGGAAGGGACTCAAAGGGCGTCAAAGTACTTGTGACTTTTCAGTTGCAAGTGTTCATTGGGGGTGGTAG